TGACTGCGCTGATTATAAATGTGTATATATAGCATTTTTCACCTAAAATAAAATGTCTCGAAGCACTGTAACGAAACAAAGCTGATAGGAAATGAAGTAAATATTCTTATTATATTGCTAAACATGTTAGCTAATCTGTGCCAGATTACCTATTTCATTCAGATTAATCGTATTTTAAGTGCTGTCTTGCAAAAACGCTTAGAAATGAATGAAACAGCCAAAAATATTGAGTTTGTTTGGAACCAAATCCTGTGCATTCTCCGCCCCCCCCCCCCCCCCACACACACACACACAATGCTTTGGGTTTTGTGAGAAACAACATATTTCACCAAAGAAATTGACATCAGACATTTGTGTCAACCTTTTTCTTGCGGAAAGTGTGAATTTCCACACGAGCATCTGTCAAAGTATTTTCATTAATTGAGCCTCACTCTGTCCAGTGGCTGGCTACCTGACTCCAGCCTTCACACGTCTTCGCTTGCTATGATGGGTACAGGCCTCTCCAGTTTGTCACATAGTTTAATATGCACCCTACATAATTATGCAGGATTCACAGTGCTATCAAACTGCAATTCAAATTAGTTCAGGATTAAAGGCACCGAACAGTACTGCTTCCTTAATTGCATTGTACTGTGCTGATCACATTCAAATACCCATTACTCATTCCCTCTGTGGAGCAATAAGTCAGAGGGATTAATATTCAGGCAGGTGACAGGGCCAAGCCATTAAAAGGCAGTTATGCAGAAAGCATGGCTGGTTTTATTCAAGTTAATGAAATCAGTGAAATGAAACTGTAATAGATTTATCAAAGCTCAGATGGATTTGCTGTAAATCAGTTTGATTCAAGCAATCAAACTGGACAATAGAGATAGTTTTCAACCAAACCGGTGCATGTCAGAAACTCGCATGTGAAAATTGCTGATATTCTTCTTCTGAGAATTTTGTGTACACCCATCGCACACAGGCCCCATTGCTAAACTGCGACTACTAAGATTTTCCTCCTCACCCCTCGCTGGTGACTGATAAAGAGGTTCTATCCAGCATTGTGCAATAATAATCCAAGCTAGCAATGATTGTAGGAATAGCTTGTCACTGTTTGACACACATTTTTCAATCAGATTTGTACCCCACATTTTTTTTGTTAAATGCAGATTCATTTAACAGGATCTGTACGTACTTTAACCTATGGATCGAATGGTGAAAATACTGTAATACTGGAAATACAACTTGCACAATTTTGGGAGAGGAAAACAATAATCAGAGTTTAATGTAATGTAGTGTACTTTCTATTCCTCTTCGTCATTGGGTAGCTTTACTCATTTTGGGGTGAGAAAAAAGGGTCTTCAGTTTATTCCTACAGACTTTGGCGGTTTACATTGTCCCAGTAGGGGGCAGCAAGAGAAAGGATGACACAGTGAAGAAAGTAATGAAGGATATCACCGTTGCCATCCACTTACATTTATTTACTAACATTTCCAAAGCACTTCCAGACAGCTGGGATGAGGTTCAGATTCTGGAGTGAACATCTCCTACAAGGGGGGGAAGCTAGCCACAACGGCACAAAGGGGGGAGAAGTTCCAAGCGTCTTAATTCTACAATAAAAAAAAGCCAAGGGTAGATGAAGCATTTCTGAAGAGTTGAAATTGTGTTCATTGTCTTTGCTTTATGTACCGGTGCTGCTGTGATTTACATGGCATAGTGCTTCCACCGTTCCCATTAACACCCAAAATTAAAAGTCATGCATCTCAAAATAGCGGGCTGGTTATTATCAACTCATCGTTATAGCGTATCCCGGGGGTAATAATCCCTTCAAAAAATAATAAATTAATAAATAAATAAAAATAGACTTGGTCACTCAATCCACATACAGTCAATTTGCTTTACGGTATATCCTGTGAAGCGCTTTGAGACGTCTTGAAGATGTCTTTAGAGACGTTCTGAAATTATCCCCCCCACCCGCCCCAAAATAATCCGTGTTGTTATTTTACTGCACAAGAATGACATTTGTATCTGGTTAAAATATAGAAATTTGCAGATCAAATGTAAAAACACTGAGGAGCACATGCGCATGAATGAAGGGACTTCAAACAATATATCTCAAGACATGTATGAGGCAGCTGGCGTAGTGTCAGGCTCTGCCACTGTTTAGCGCTCTGAGACGCTGCCACGTGTGAAGGGCGCTGTATAAATGCAAGTCGTCGTTGTTGTTGATTTGCCTTACCTTGACAGGCTGCACCTTCCTGAATTCACGACAGCCAGATATCCATTCCTATCTTTAAAAAAAATAGGTAAAGAATCAAAAGGTTTGGTATCAAAAAGCCTAATGCAGTCCCAATGCAGTTATGTATCTTTATGTGTTGGAGGTAGGGATGGAGAATAAGGTGGGTTAATTGAAAGGCCAATAGCTCGCAGTGTGAGGCTGCACCACATTGGACCCATGGTGTGCCTGAAATTGGCCCACATTGCTGGGTTCCCAATCTGAACGGTAAATCTGTGGCTTAGTATCCAGCAAAGGTCAGATATTCCCACAGGCACAAACACATTAGATTCATCCCTTGGCCACCACTTTGCATACTTTTCGCCCAAAAAATATACAGTTAATTCACTTTATGCTATATTCTGTGAAGCTCTTTGAGAAGTCTCAACGACGTGATAAGGCACTGTATCAAATGCAAGGATTATTATTATTATTATTAATGATGCCTCCCGTTAGGTTTTACCACTGAGCTGTCTGGCCGGATATGTTCTATTAGGTCAATCCCAATATTGTGAGGACTTAAGTGGTAATAGTTACCTTCATTCCCGGGAACCAGAATGCGTGGCATTGGGTTTCTGTAACCTCATTTGATAATGTGAAACATAATGAAAAATCTGGTTGTTCGCGAAAGAAAACAGCCTTGTAATTAATGGTTGTGTTCACCCTCCAACATTTAAAACCATCTTTTTTAAAAAAAAAATCACTTGTTCAGTTTCACACTGTGACATAGTGCGTCATTAAACAACAATTTGCATTTATATAGCACCCTTCACGTGGGGTAGAGTCCCGGAGCGATTGAATCACCTCAGAAAAACTGGTGACAGAATAACTGTAGAATTCCTCGAAGCAACCTTGAACCGTGAAAACAGAATTACAGCGCTGAAAACACTGTACCAATAGCACAGGTGCAAACGGCCAGCTCAAATCGATGTGCTTTAATGCAGAGCGACTTTTACAAACTCAAAGAAGATCGCAAGTCACAGGTTATAAAATCACTCCATTCTGCTGATGTTAATGCTGTCACATGGTGCTGTGGTTCAGTGCCTGTGTAAACCGCCCTCGCGGTAACTTTAGCACATCTTCTTGAAACCTCTCAGCTTTGTACATTATCTGGCTGTTTGTACACCTGAAAATTAAAACCAGATCCCTTCGCCATCCATCTTACAAATCACAATAAACACTCCGCAGCTCAGATCTGGAAAGCTCTTTTAGGTAGTAATTTCTACGTGCATCAACCAGTCTCTATGGGGAACAAATAAATGACACAGGTTTGACTTATTTCAGTTAAAAAAACAGCTCGAGGTGAACCTTAAATTAAGAGATGTCAGTGGCCTGCACTGTTGTTATCAGCACCTAGTCATTCAACAGCTCGGATCTGTTATGCCACAGTGAGCTCTTTATCAGACCCCGATGGATGATATGACACAGACTGAGACGTGTGGCATGTTGAGAGTTTGTGAAGAGGTCAAACCTAGTTACACAGACCAGAAACTAAGGTAAGCAGTTAGAATTAACACTCGGGTGAGAAGTGGGTACATTTCCATTGGCGAAATTAAAACCAAACCATTTAATAATGAAACGTGCATGCATGGGTTTTTTTGTGCTTTTATTAATAAAAAAATAATAATCCTTGCACTTGACATAGCGCTTTTCACATCTTCTAGACATCTCAAAGCGCTTCACAGAACATACTGTAAAGTGAATTGAATGTATATTTGTGGGCAAAACGCTTAATGATGATACACTTCTACTATGTCTGTCTGTGAAATTAGTTAGGGTTTATGTCAAAATGGCAAATGTAATATGACAAGCTTAACGTGTCCTTATCAGTTTATGTTCCTCATTTCATATCACAAGAGTCTTGAAAATAACGTTGATATCATGAGCGTTTATTCGCAGTGGGATAGCAATATTTACTGCAAACTGTTCACTGCCTCATAATACGTCATGGTCTCTGTTCCACTTATTTAAATTCACTCCTGGTGCTAAGTCAGGCATTCATTTGAAATACGATGCAGCAGCACTGATGATTAATCCATACATCTGGAACGGCGTGAGCCAGATTGTTTTTGCCATATTTCTCCCCCTTCCCGTGGTAATTTTTCGCAGCCGAATGTCGATAAGACAGATGCCATACTCCTTGGCTCCCGCCAACATCTTCTCTCTTGCGGCTCTGACCTCAACCTCCCCGGCCTATCCCAAACCCTCACCAAGCCTGTGCGTAAATCTACGCATCAAGTTCGATCCTTAGCTGCTCTTCCCATCCCACATCTGGTCCCTGACCAGGAACACTTTCCTCCACCACCATCCCATTGGCTGCCTCCAACCTGGTTGGTATGTCTTGTTACTATACGAGGCAGTAGTTCTACGCACTCATTTCATTGTCAGGAGCCAATGTGTTTATCAAAAGAAAATGAATTCCTACATCCAAATTTCAGGAAATGATTGTAGATTGACTCTTTGGCATTGGGACAATTTGGTTATTTTTTTTTTTTAAAAATGCATTTTTACTGGATGAAATTATCACTGAGCCGCCACACATAAGAGGACATCCTCAAGAATGATTAACGGATGCAGGAAGCATGTGTCTACTTTAAACATTCGAACGCCAATAAAGAAATTTAAGAGAAATGAAAATATTTGATTAAATTCTGGATCACAGTACCTGTTGCACAAGCTCTCCGTGTGAATATAAATAGTTTTGGTATGCTTTGTGGAATAAACAGAGGAAGTAATCATCTAGTGCTTGACACAGTACAATTTTAATCCGTTACACTGATTCATGTTCTCAATCCGTTTTCAGTTAAAAGCAAGGCACATTAAGAACACTTTGTTATTACTCCAAAATTGCATGCAGCTCATTTTGTATACCAAAAGTAATAAATTATTAGCAATAAAAACAACCAATGGAGAGATACAAAAATTAAAATGCAGTCGCCAACATGGTATTATGTCTCGTTCACAATAAAATAACTATTGAGGTGGGACATAAAACTCTTCACACATTCAGTCACACACAACGGTCATTAACAGTACGATTCTTAAGACTGCCTGCTTGTTGTTCAATGGCGCTATTCGCAAACAATTTGGCATTCAAGCTTGTTATGAGACAGTAAAATCTGATGTGCAGTATTTCAAGGAGTTTGTATGTGTACTAATTTGGAAGAAAGTTTCTTGTCGTCCTACAACATTATAACATTAAGGTATTGCATTGTTTATAAACTGTAATGTGTTTTTGACACTAATCCAGCAACCATTTCTACTCTAACTGAATCTAACTGTCCCAGGGAAGGGTAAGAGATGGCTCAATAGAAAATAGTTCAAGATATGCTTTTAACAAATATACAGATCTTTGCAAAATATACATATAGTAGATATGATAATGTATAAAATTAATTTACTGCTTTATAGTACTAAACATAGTACAAGAAAATTCTAACAAAAGTGGTACTGGATTCTGACAGTATCAGACTGTGTGTAAGAAAAAGGTGAAGGACAAATTGAATACGCACTTTACAGTGTGTAGAAACAGGAGCCAGTAAAAGCTTAAATATGCTTTTGTGGCTATACAAGTATCACAGGACTTGATGCTTACAACTAATACAACAGGCCTCTGTCTAAAATTCCATGTACGCTCCCCGCCTTTAGTTTCCGCAACACTAGTTCACTAAAGTTTAAAGGTTTTCTTGTGCTTCTGTTTCAACCACTGAAAGGCTTCATCAATTTGCTGGGTTGGAATGTCACTTTCTGCTTGTAAACTGCTCGAAGTACATTATTGGTTATTGAGTGCAAGAATTGTGATAAGCTGCAACTCAATACATTCATTCATTAATTCATGTATCATAAAGTTTCAAGTGTAGAACGAAAACACGGAAAGTACAAGAGAAATCGCTGATCTCAGAAGTAAAAGAGCATATAGACAGATTTGAGAATCGGACTTAAGTCATAAAAGTATACAATATCGAACTATCCTTGAACCATTTTTGCTTTGGCCAATGTTTATCACAACCATCTTTGATATTCCCTTTCCTTGAAAAAGCTTACTGTTATATAGTACGTATGTCAACTTTTCCATGATCCAGCATCAATTTAGAAATAATCTTGTTGCATATTTCCAGAAATTATACATGTGCAACCTCGAGGTCAGAACAATAGCGAGTGATTGTGAACTGTGAGGAGGACATAACGTTTACTATGAAGATGCTGGTGTGGTGGAGAAGGCGTGAAAACCAAAGAGATGCAACGATATTGACTAAGAAACAGATGTTACAAAATACAGTCAGGCAGCAAGAGGCAAACTCATATGAAAGTAGAACCGTCATAGGAGGTTCACGTGGGCCATCAAAGTCTGATCTGATGCTTGCTGCTTGCAGCAAACTGCTTTTCCAACTCAACGTGGCATTTTATGGTGCTTTGAGCTCGTGATTGGCCATATAGGTAGAGATATTCTAAAGAAACCAGTATTAGAATGACAGAAAGTCAGCTGCCAAGGTGGGTGACAATTTGACAAAATATTACTACACATTACTGAGGCACCACATTAATGTTTACAGTCAGATCGATGGATCCAATAAGACTCTAATGTATGGTCCATTGAAGGGACCAAACAGAATGGAGAGAGAAAAAAAAAGGGTTTACATATACTAAAATGCCATCAATATATTTGAAGTTAGTAAAATAAACTATTAGCCTTTATCAATATGTTTGTGGTGACCACTGGAAATATTTTTGGATAGGACCCTTAAAGTCGCAAAGAAAGATTGTCATTAAAATATCATACAATGTTATTGAGCAAATTGAGTAACAAATGAATAGGACCTGCTGATCAGATAGACGGACAAAGAGGTTGCCTCTTGAAAAGCAGCACAAGACAGATCTTAAAAATGCCACCATGCCCCCAAAGAGTTGTGAATTTTCCTTCTAGTTACAGCCTGCCCTTCAACCCAGACCAAATCCATCTGAATGGGAAAAACTCTCATCGTTCAAGAAAGGTTGCCCACAAAATATCTTAAAGGCGCTAGAATTATTATTTGGGGCAAACCAAATCACTATCTTTCATTGTGTCCAGCAGGGGATCAAAATGTTATTGTTGCTTACCATTATTTGCATTTTGCAATCGTTATGTCCGTCTGTTGGTAAGAGGAACTTTTTTTTTAACATTACAGTACTTTGTGTTTTCAAGATTTTATATCAGACGTAAAAAGATAAGTTACATTTGAATAATCTGCCGATATAATGCAACTTTTCGTCAAGCGAGGTTTGTAGAGAGAATGGTCAAAGAAAATATAAGACTTTGAGAAAGCAGGTATAGTGTAACATGCACCAAATAAAGGTCTGTCGCATGTTCATGAAGACCGAAGGCCAGGCAAGGCAGCAAATATAAGGTCCTGTGATGTCAAACTCTCTGCCAGTTGCGAGTCTGGCTTTCTCTTGCGGCTGACAATGCCTTGGACAGGCAGGCGGGATTCACACACCTCCGCCACTCCGGTGTACAGGAATAGCTTCTCTGTGATCCAGTTTCTCCTCGGCCCTTTTCAACAATATCGCCAATCTGCTGCTCGACACCGAGCCTTTTTTCACTGCACTCATTAACTGTTAAGGGAAAAATAATAATAATAATAATCCTTGCATTTGTTAAGAGTGCATTGTCACGTCTTTGAGACGTCTCAAAGCGCTTCACAGAATGTAAATTTTGTGGGCGAAACTAATGGAAAATATTGGCAGAGTTTTGTGCTGTGTTGTGTTGAAGCCAATTGAAACCTTTTCAAATGATTCAAAGGGTACGTTCCGCAGTGCACTTCAAAGCACTGAAGAATTCGACATCAGTTCAGAAACATCATCTGTAATGGGGGTATAAGCCATTTAGGAGTGAGATCAGGAAACACACAGGTACCACTGAGAAACTTAAAACTTACTGATCACCATAAAGTCTCTTTTAACGCTACTTGACATAAAAGCCAAGCAAGATGGTGAATAATTGTTCACCATTAAATCTTGTCACCACCGTGAAGCTGTAAAGCCGTAGTAAGAGATCAGGATTGAGCTTTTCTGTCACATTAACACTGAGCTGAAATACATTTCTCATTTTAACACGTGGACATCATCACATTAGCCGCCCACGTGTCACAGCTTAGATTCACTGGAGAACCTGGTTATCTGTTACACTCTGGGCAAACTTCACTAAAAGTATGCAGCAAAAAGAGATGCATTAAAAACATTAGTTATTTATAAACACTGTAGATACTGCCCTATAATTCTATTCAAATCGAATTCGAAGCTACTTTTTAAATCAAGCTGGACACAAATGGAGACAATTGTGCATTCTGCTACCATAATGTAGTTATCTACTGCTCATCTCCGCAGGAACAATTACCATTTCCTTTGCCTTGATCTTGTTTGTTTAACTTGACACAGCGAAGAAAGACCTGACATTGACCAAAACCCCAGCATTAATTTATCTCGTGTTCGGCATTCATCACTGTCGCAGTGAGAGGAAAGAACTGGCAGATATTTGAAATACCGAGCCAGGACAAGATCTACAAAAACAAACTCTGCCTTCGAAGAAAAAATAAACTCAAAATTCTTCATTTGGGGCAAAGTCAAATAAGCAGATTCAGGAGGTTCCGATTTAGCGAACGCGCAAATTAAATTATTGCTGTTTGTTATTCCACAAAGGAATTTCACAGAACGCTTTAAACAAATCCAATTATTCCAGAACGGTGCCACCTTCCCGGGTTAAAGGTACGAGTGGAAAAGAGCAGACACCCACCTGCAAGAACTCGTGTAGTTCCACCTGCCCGTTCTTGTTTAAGTCAACTTCATTTACAATTTCGTGCAGAGCGTTTTCATCAATATCATGATCAATTGTCTAGATGAAAGGCAGTTTGTAATTTTAAAACGTGTTGGTGCAATCATTGCGGTTTGAACTCCCCCACTATCAGTTATCAATGCAGTTTCCACTGAGCGCAATTTGGACCTGAACCAGAATTTAGTTCGTAGAAACATGGCTCAAGGAGTCTCTGAATTGGTCAACAACTTTGTGTAAGATAAAGTCCTGGAGCGCCTCATAATGACAGGGTGAGATACCAAGCTGGGGACACGTGTGAGGGGGAGGCAGTAAGGTGAGGTGACCACAGGTCTGTTGGTTAGCTTTAGCTTTAAACTAAGAGCAATTATTAACTTATAATAACAAGGAGGAGATTTTCACTCTTGATGCAATTGGAAGCTGTACTAAAAACAATAATAATATACGGGTGGCTTTCACAGATTTTAAACAAATATGCTTTTTGACAATGAAACCAAAACCACACACGCACACGCACACAAGCGCGCACACACGCACGGCTAATGATTTTTATACCTCTAACACACGCTGGACGTCAACAAAAGTGATAAAACCCCTCTGTTGGTTATCGAATTTCCTGAACCTTATCGTAAACCTGAAAAAAACAAATGCAATCAATGATTTGAACCAGTAAGAAGAGTAGAAGCAGCCACAGGAAACACTCAATGGGTGGAATAATAAAGTAGCTTCTACCTGTCCAACTCTTCAGGGGTAAGGTTTACTTCTGTGGTTTTGGTCAACTGTTCATCCCGTACTTTGTAGCCCATTTCTAAGTACAGAAAGCGCAGAGCGGACACCAATTCCTCCTGACGACGTACGACACAAATTGACTTCATAAGTTAAAATGAATAATAGCATTTAAATTATCGCTAAAAAAAGAGCCATATTTCCTTGCATGATTAAAATTTCCGATCAAAGGAATCTTCAGCATGTGATCTGAGCGTCTCTTCAATAAGAAATGCTGCTTAAGTTAAAAAAGTGAAGTTAAACCAGGAGCCAGTTTCCTAGTTAACATTTGATTCATGTGATCAAAGCAGAATAGCTTTAAAACCCACAGAGAGATAATTAATTGAATGAAGTGAAACAAGGACGTATATAATGAATAATGAACTGTAAGTGACCAAAAGCGCATCAAGGCATCTGCATTTCGCAAGTTTATAATAATAATTTGGTCACTCAGTCCATGACTGTTTGTGGGGACGCTGCTGTGCGTAATTGGCTGCCGGGTTTCGCCCACAAAATATAGTCAATTCACTTTACAGTATATTCTGTGAAGCGCTTTGAGACGTCTCGAAGATGTGATGAGGCGACGTATCAAATGTAAGGATTATTATTATTGTTATTAGGTAAAGATTCTGAGGCAATAGAACGACTGAAAAAAAAACACTGGGGAAAAAAAACACAATAAAATGCTGTTTCTACAATAAATCAATTGCAATATTATTTCCATTTCAGACCATTGTGCTTTGAGGAGGAAACAAAAATACATACAGTAAATCTGTAATCACGGTATTCTATTCTGAAATGCTGCTCAGATAAATTGGTTCACTGGTTTAGACACATTTTTGAATAAAACACAAACAATTATTAAAAGCGTATTGATATAAGCGATCCCATTTATTTTCAAATGCATAATTCATTGAATAAAACAGGGGTTTTCTTTGCAGCTAATATTGAGAGGGGCAGATGTTTAGTTTGTGCAAATGCATTTATTACACTGCGTTCCCAATAAATAATTATGCAACAAGGGCCACAGAATCCTATGGGGTTGCCCTTCGAATTGAGCAAAACCTTATTGTACAATAGCAAGGCTACATTTCGTGCCATAAAACATTTTATTAAAAAAAAATGCTTTCTTCTTAAAAAAAATGAGTCACCTGTTTTTTCTGCTCGTTCCAGTTCAATTCTGCAGCCATTATCTCTACAATACGTGGCAAAGCTTCTTCTGCTGCTTGTATATTCTGGAACGCCAGGCGAGTGCGCCTGGCAATCACATCAATAGCTGTGCAGGCGTATTCTTTCACGGCATACGTCACCTACACAAGAATGCACAGATCAATCGAAAGAGGTTCTCTTGACTTGGCGAATTTTTATAAAAAAAAAATCGTTCAGCAATAATTCTTATTTCGATGTATAATAATAATAATTATAATCCTTGCATTTGACATAGGATCTGATCACGTCACTGGGACGTCTCAAAGCGCTTCACAGAATATATTGCATATATATATATATATTGACTGTATTTTTGTGGGCAAAAGGTGGCAGCCCATTGCACACAGCAGTGTCCCACAAACAGTGAGTGAGGAATTTTAGTAATTTTTTATTTATTTATTTTTAAGAGGGACTTTTACCCCCGGAAAGCATTCAGGATTCTAATCTCAAAATACAGTATACCAAATGCAACCATTATGTACATTATGTGATAGAGTTTTTGCATACAACAAAACTCCCCCAAATACCCAATGGAGATCTATCAACAAGACCTCTAAAAAGTATAATAAATACAACAAATCAATTTTCTTCCAAACTGTAGCGAAGGACGACTTCGAAAGCTATGTGCCGGTCTTTGAGAATTGAAGTGCAATAACATCACTGCGTACCTCTGCTTCGATGTATGGGAATTCAGCCACTAGTCGCTTGCCAACAATGGGCCATCTCTTTCCAGTGACCTTAGCCAATTTGGCAACTTCGAAAGCTTTGGTACCAAATGTGTTGGAGAGATGCCGAGAAACCTAAAGTCCAAGAGATTATGTTAAACCGGAGAAAATGTAGGCGTGTTGCTTTTTTTGAGTTCAACAAGACAATTTGAGTTCAAAAATAAAATGAAGATTCACGTTCGCCTACCATTTTGAACTGAATAGCTTAGTTTCAAATCTACATCATTTACTAATTCACACAAAGGCTAGTGAAATCTGGAACTCTCTCTCTCTCTCTCTCTCTCTGCCAAAAGGCTGTGGATGCTGGATCCAATCACACTTTCAAGACTGTGGTGGATAGATTTCTGTTAGGGTCAGGATAACGAGGGATATGGGGCAAGGACGGATAATTGGAGTTGAGTTACAGATCACCATGATCTAATGGAATGGTGGAAAAGGCTCGAGGCGCTGAATGGCCTCCTCCTATGTTCCTAATTTATTCAATAATTGTTAGGCACCACTTACCTCAGTGCTTAAACCATAATCCTGCACTAATCGAATGTACAGAGTAGGAGTCCAGCCAACGGCCCCTTCCAGTAAAAGCCCAACCGTCTGACAGGATGCAGTTGGATTAAGTCCATGGGTTTTAATAGCGGCGTTTAATGCGTCCTCAGCCATTAAGCGATAAGTAGTCCATTTACCACCTGCAGAATAGGTCAGTACAGAAGCAAACTCCACTGTATACACATCAAACATTTTACATCAAAACAACACCTCCAGACAGAAACTCCTACACGCCAAGTTTTATGTGCATGAGTTATGAATAATTCAACAGGAATATTTCCCTGTATCTAAAATACCAAATTGTGTTTCAATCAAAACAAAAGCATGTCTGACTGTCAGAAGGGGAAATAAAATAATCTGTGGACAATTCCAAGGCACTAATTTGTTACATCACAAGATAAAGAGGCAATAATTCTGCATTTCAATTGTGTCAAGTTTTAAAAAAATCGGTTTGACAAAGCATTTACTTTTACTGCATTCACAGTGACAGTAAACCTTACATATGAATTGTATCTTTTAATATGATGTGCGAAGTATGAGTTATGTCAAACTTGCATAGAATATAAACTCCTGAATGGGACAACAACAACAAATTACATTTCAATAGTGTTTTTCATGTTGGGAGAACGTCCTAAAGGATTTGGGCAGCTGTAGGATTTAGGCGATTATACGATTTATACAGATCAGATTTATGTGAGCTTCACTGCACTGATGGTAAAACATTACCTGCAATGGTCACCAGGCCACTTTTGGTCACCGCCACAAGATGATTACGGCAGATTGACTTGGTGTCCTTCGAGGTGGGATCAGTCACCAGTGGCCGGATACCACTCCAAGCTGCGAGAACATCTCCTCGTCTCACTGTGCAGAGAAACAGTAACACTCAGCAAAGTCACTCCCGAGTCTCCCTCCTGACAGTTATCACCCTACCCTGGGGCGGGGGGGGGGGGGGGGAGAGTATTTTACAGCCTTTGGAAAAAAGGCTAAAATGTTAAAGAAACACCTCTTTTATGTATATATGGAACATAAGGTCATACGAATTGCTAAACGAAAGAAGACCAAGCTCCATCAGTTTGCCTCCCACCATCCTGGCAGTCGCGTGCACATATGTCATGTCCCAAACTATATCTGTATCCCAAGATACTATTTCCCGAAAGAAACCGATTTTCTTTTCTTTTGAAAGAATCAACACTTTCTGCTTCCACCATCTCTCCAGGGAGCTTGATCCATACATTTACTACTCGCTCACTGAAATAGAGTTTCCGCAGGTGTATAGACAAAACCTCAGTTTAATGTCTCATCCAAAGGATGCCCACTTTGACGGTGTAACATGCCCCCAGCACTGCACTGCACTGGAGCAACAGCTCTAGATTGCGAGTTCAAAGTTTGAACCTTCAGAATTTGAACCTTCTGACTCAAGAGGGTTAAGAGTGTTACCAATCGAACCAGACCAACCACAAGGGGAGCTGAAATAGGGCTAAATATGGCTGGCCCACTATTCAGTCTGTGTGAATTAAATCCTCTTCATTGGAGAACAGTGAAAGTAATCCATATTATATCTCCGATAGCACGTACAAATATTTGCTTTGAAAGTAAAATCGATAAAAAGGAGTCAAATAAAAATCTCATTTTTCCCACATTTTTAACAGAATTTTCAGGAAGAAATACTATTCCATTCTCTAAAGCAGTTTAGAGACAAAAACAAAAGAGACTTTTTTTAGACAATAAAAACACAGGAAAGGACAAAAGAAAAATGCATGAAAAATAAACTGTACCGAGAAAAAAAAATGACTGAGTAAAGTCATTATTTGGGATTTTATTTGTCAAGAATAACTTTGGTGTGAAAACAAAGATTATGGGTTATGGGTTTTCATTTATTTCATAATAGTTTAACCGTAATAAAGTTTATAAAGTATCAGTTGTGAAGATGTCGTGATAAATACTTCTGTTCAACTGTAAGGTGTAGGCAGGCAGTGCAACACTCAAGATTTTAAGTGAGCTGCAATGGAAATGTACATTGAATACTCGTTGATCTAACAAAACAAACACACAAGATAAATTATCTTACAATATTTCTGTAACTGAATTCTTAATGGCAATTAGAGAGCAAAAATAATTATGCAGAAGCCTTGGTTTAAGAAAAAATGACTGCATATCATTATAGCTCATATCGCAGCTCACATTTTACAAAGGTCTCTTGAACAGCCAACATTTACACAGCAACACATACCATGGGATTTGACGTCTGCATAAGTGGGCTATATAGTATTTTAAAAAATGCACTTTTTATTCAAAGTCATAAAGAAATTTACTGTCTAAACTGGTGTCAGAAATACAACTGTAATTTATCATATTGAAAGAAATGAGAGGCGAGGTACGGAAACCGCAACACGCATTTATACAGTAGCCTTCACAAAGGATTGCATCTCAGAGCGCTGCACAGTGCGGGGCTGGACACTGAGCAAGGGAGAAGGAGGTGGGGTAGGTCTTAAGGTAGGATTTAACGACAGATAAAGAGGGGGAGAGGCGGAGGCAGAGAGCTCCAAAGGTTATGGATCTTGAAATCCACCTTTTCTGAGACTCGGAGTCCGTGGAGCCTGGTGAGGATTGGGGACAACGGGCTTGCGGAGGTTGGTGCAGTTGAGGACACATCCACACAACAAGCTCCAGGTCTCAGGCACCTGTCACTGAACAATTACAGTTACTATCTTCAGCTACAAAAAATGTAGAACCCCCAAAAGTAATCTATTAATCCTCAAATACAATTTAGGATCCTGAATTCCTAGCTAAGTTATTGGCTTTTATGAGTAAAAGCCATGTGGAGACTGAGTATTATGAGCCAAACTGCCTTCATGAATGGGTACTATGAGAACGGTATTGGACACAGTTTTCCACAACTGGTTAATGGGTGGGAAATATCTGAAACACGATAGTACCCAATTTTGACTCCACTTGACAGCAGTTCTGCTCCCAGTGATTACTAATGGGAAAATTGTGCTCAAAGTGATGTCAATTAGCAATTAGATAAAAAGATTTGACACAGAAATGGGATCTGAAATGACGTAGGCTTTTGCATTCAGTAAATTAACAATTCACTCGACCACATTTTTCTGGCGATGATATTCAGGCACAACCCTGTACACGTACACACACACACACACACACACAATGTTTTATTGTCAGGAATAGATGGCATGTCAGATTAATAGAGATTTAAATTGACAAGAAATGTTCCATCTGTTTCTTTTTAAAAAGAAGGTATGCAGTGTGACAGATGAATATTAGATTTAGTTGCAAGGCAATGTGGTAAGAGGATTAATTCCACTTGAGGTGACATATTAGGTGGAAATGCTGATACATTAATGACAAGTGTCTATTGTGGGTTATTAATATTAACTAATGTTGCAGTTATATTGCTGCTACGAGCTTTGCACCAGTACGATTTATTTTAAGAGTGCTACATAGTTAAACTGCTCATCCAACCCTGCATTTTGTGCTCCTTTCACCCACAATACACACAGTCACTTCACTTTACAATATATTCGGTGAAGCGCTTTGAGACGTCTCAACCACGTGATCAGGCGCTGTATCAAGTACAAGGATTATTTTATTTAAAGCGCTCTGCTCCCAAATTTTCTAAAGTTGCAAAAAAGCTAACACTCGAGAGAATCTTGACTAATGTTAGACCTCTTCTCCAATTCTTAATTACATTTAAATTTAACGTTCCAGTGATGCGCTTGGCCTGTGTTTTTCCCCTACATCCCTGATAGTGCACAACTGCTGCACAAAGTGTTTAAATTCTGTATAAAACTTTTTTTTTAAAAGCATGGGTCAGGAGAACTGGAGACCCAATCGTAAAGATGAGCGAATTTCAAGCTTAACACATCTTATGAAGCAGGAACATCATGCCATTAATAATAATAATCCTTGCATTTGATGTAGTGCTTTTTCACGTCGTTGAGATATTTCAAAGCGCTTCATACTGTGAAGTGAATTGATGGCATTTTTTGTGGGCGAAAAATAATAACAATGCCAAGCTATTAACTTACAGCTCGTGTAGACTGCAAACCAGCGCTTTTGAGTGCAAAGTCACTTTGAGGTTTTTCAAAAAAATAAAGCATGTTTCTGATTTAACTGGTTGTAGAGAGCTATAGGGTTGACGTGAAGGCAGCAGCAAAGTAACAATAGTCTGCGTTTGCCCTTTACAAATCTACACGACAGGACAAGCTACATGGCCCAAATGGCCTTTTCACACACCTGCCTTAGGTTCAGTTATTTCTTTGCTATGGACTCAATCATGACAGTCAGAATTCGTGTTACAAGTGGTCCTTAGTGACCTCTAGTAACAGGTAACCTTTGTTACAAATTCCCGAGCTGTATTTGAGCACATGTCCTCAGACAGACGCAAGCAGTGAGCATGATTTAATGTTTGCTGGGATACATGCAACATTTGCCGGATGTTAAAGGCACAGGTCCCTTGTATGTTGCTTTTTACTTTATTGCTGTATAAACCTTTGGCTTTTGAACTCATTCTTTACCTGTGGGATTGCCTGGCAAAAGAAACAAGAGTCAATTTAAACAGTACTACAGATCCTCAGTCACCTGCTTTGTGCACTTTCCTTTCTCCAGATTCTACCAGTAAAGTTGATAAATTCTTACTCTGAGATTGCAAAGGAACTCCATGACCTATGGTGATATGTCCTTATTTATTCAGCTGACTCATTTTTAAGAACACTGAAAAAATTGAGCCATTTTCTGTGGTAAAGCAGGGTTTCGTGTTCAGACTTCTTGTTTCATGTTCAAAAGCCTGTAGAGGTTTATAATCTGAGTTTATAGTCTGAGGTATCAAAAATGATAAATGGAAGTAGGTTTGATAGTAACTTTCAAAAGGGAATTAGACAGATACTTGAATATATTTTTTTCAGGGCTATGGGGTAAGAGCGGGGGAGTGGGACTAATTGAATAGCTCTTTCAAAGAGCCAGCACAGGCATGATGGGCCGAATGGCCTCTTTCTGTGCCTTTATATTCTATGATTCTGTGATAGAGGTATCTGGAGTCTTTAGGAGGATTTAAGATCAAACGCGTACCAAATAATTAAAAATCAAGTCTTCATGCGAGAGATAAGTTAGAGTTAGTAATTACAGTATTTGGTCAATTAGCGATAACAATTCTGAGGCCAAAAGTGCATGTACTAGGTTAGTTGAGAAGTAATGAATTCTTTCTAAAGATACAAAATACACAAACAGTGTGGACAAATCTTTGGCTCATTTATGGAATAAAGTCTTCATTTCAATGAGGAATAGAAAACAGGCACTAGACGTGTATCTAAAGAAACAACATGGAATTTTGTATTTCTCCCATTAAACTGTAAAATTGGGCAATAATTTTATCATGGACAATAGCAACGTACAACATTAACTAGAGATACTATAGAAGCAATTTTAATTGAAACTATCCATTTTTCTGAAGTGGTCACAAAAAGCAATAGGAGTTGACTCAATAAGGATTTACCAAACACTAATTTATGTTTGGTAAATTAACCAACGTAGAATATAAAACAACTCGGACAACTTCTCAAATGCAATTGTTGCAACCACACAAGTCGAATCTACTTAAAATGATGCATTTATCATTTCTCAGAGGGAATGAATTGTTTTTACAAACTGAAAACCAGAAATAGCAGCTCTTGTGACACAATAATGAAACTACTGGAACCTGTCCAAGTCTGTGTAAGTGGATCTGCCTGGTTATAAGTGCTTTCAGGATAACACACAGGTCTGTAGGAGGATGATATGGCCAGTATAGTTTGTTTAATAATACATGCATATTTATAAATTGTGTTAATTACTGAAGTTTAACCTGGAGTGACGGTTTGCATCCTCTCTAACAATGGATCGCTTTCCATGCAATTATAGCCTTAGATGTAGGTACTAACCCTCTAGTATATCAAACGTTTAAGTGATTGCTCTAAATCCCTCAAACATACACAGCCACTTCCCCCCTATCCACCACACCTGCATGTGTGTGCGCACACAAAAACTCACACACTCGCTGTCAAATCTCTCCAAAAAAAAACTCCAGGGGACCTTGTTGGAATCACAACCAATGTGAAAGGGTCAATACACCTCATACAAGAACATTTTGAAAAACATCTTCCAATAACATTTTGTTGACAAAATACACAGTTAATTAACTCTACAGTATGTCCTGTGAAGCTCTTTGAGACGTCTCGAAGACATAAGGCGCTATATCAAATGCAAGGATTATTATTAACATTACTGCCTAGAATCAGTGGCATTGTATTCAAGGCAAAGCACCAAGAATTATAACTGTTATTCAACCAAACTGTAACCTTGGTTGTATTATGTCTGGTACCTTCTACATCCTGGCTGAGATAATTCCGTACTTCGGAGAGAATGAAATTAATATCTTCCTCGCGGGGGACAGGGTTCTGTACCACTTCCGTCAGAGAGTCAGTGGTTCCTGCGATGACCATTTTCTCCCAGGGTAAGAAAAATATAACCCGACCATCACTAGTAGCTGGATCCAGTAATCCCATGTTCTCAGGGCTGTAAGGATTAATGCAAAGATCATTTTTTTGAAAAAAAAAGTCCTGTTCTTAGCTTGTGTTAAAGTTACTCTGCACACGTGGTGCGGAGAAACATATTTGAGGAATTAACTCCTGAAAATATGTTCATCAGTCCACACGTTGACTTTGTAGAGCAACTTGAGTAGATATTTCTACATAAATTCTGCACATTATCATTTCAACCGGCGAGTCATCTCAGGACAAGGGCTGTTCCTAGCAGCTAAGTACCACAGACTGCTGTCAGGTACATGATTTTCATGTCATACTACAGAGTCAATCCTATCTTAGGCCAATTACATCTGCCACTTTGGGTCTAATTAATCTCTTTCCACAGAGAAATGTCACCAAGCCCCAACTCTGTATGAAACAAACATTTTTCTTGGTAAAGCCCACTTGTAGCTGAGATACCATCCTATTGGGAAGCAACTTGCAACACGAACTGGGAGTAAACTGAAGCGACTTCCCTAAACAAGCAGAAACCAGAAATTCCTTTCTATTTACACGAATAAATTAACCTTACTTTACACTACTTTTATTTATATTTGGCCTTATTATTACTTAAAAATTCATATACAGATACACTAATCCAAGACTATGTCACTCATTGGCATTATAATCCATGGTAAAACACTTTGGAGGATGGTCTAGAGTGGGAGTGAGATGTTAAACAGAATGGCAAGGTGAACAAGATTTGATTTAGTCAGTGTTGGTAACACCTATATGTTTGAGTAAGCAGTACTTTTTACAATGATAATAGTTATTTATTTACCTGTAATAACCTGGCATAACAATGTGTACACCAGCACTACCCTGGCAGATGTTTGGGATGTCAGCATCATCCATTTTACGCAGAGAGTCTGTGAACGGTCCTGTAGCATTGATAACACACTTGGCTTTCACATCAAAATCTTTCCCTGCGAAAGAAAATAATAATCCTTACATTTGATTTAGCACCTTATCACGTCGTTGAGATGTCTGAAAGCGCTTCACAGAATATACTGTAAAATACTGTGTATTTTGTGGGCGAAACACAGAGCCAATTGTGCAGTAGCATCCCAACAAACAGCCGTGGATTGAGTGACCAAATTTTTTTGGTGCGTTTTAAAACAGTACTGATTTTAAAATGCATCACTATTCAAGTAATTTATGGATTATACCGTGACTCTTACGTTCATTAACAAGATAATAATCGAGATCTGCTCAGAACTGAATAGAAAGAAACATGATAAAGTCAGATTTAGGCACAAATTAAGTACCCGATGAGCTATTACCAATGTGATTGCAGCTTGGTTTCTGAATGCATCTTATTTCCTATAAAGATAATTCACCCTTATGGTCTAGTGCAATAAAAACAGATAGAAACATACACTGTGTTCAAATAAATACCATACATGTGTATAATTGAAAATGCAGTAAAAAAACAATTCTCCTTACTCTCCTGGTGTTAAGAGAAATTAACAAATTCAATTTGCCGAGTTGTTAAGTTGACTTAGGGCATAAAGTGGATTCATTTCCCACATCGTATTTAGCTACTTAAGGGAAGCACTTATGGCTCATGTATAACATAAGCCAGTAGCAATGTTGGCTAGGCTTAATCTTACAATTGTCATTCTACCCCCTCCCCCTCCCATATCAGCCTAATTCATTTCAAACTAAATGCCAGTTTTACAGATGTTGGTGAACCATATGTAATAGAGGCTGAGATCAGATATCCTGAGTTTAATTAATAATTAATAATAACCAGGTTCAATTAATAACTATCAGAAAGAGGTTTTCGTGATCTTTCCTGGAGTTGGACTTAAGTTTGGATGAAAGACAGTGATTTTGTCTCCACTATGTTGAATATCTAACACCTGACTATAATTAAGGCTTTTTAAAAAAATAATTTATTATGAAAATTCAGCAAAATGCCCTATTTTCGTAATCGGCATAAGTTAGACTGCATTTGTTCTATTTATTTTTTAATCTTTGGTCACAGCCGGGTGTCTGACACATGAGGAAATCCATCACCGTTGCTTAAGAGTATCCAAACCAAGCTGAGAACTCCAGGCCTCCCACCTACACATGGAAATCCCAGAGATAGATTTAAAGCATTTGCTTTAAACTTTCTGGAGTGCAATGTAGTGCACATGAAAGACCTGAGCCCAAGCTACAGCTAAATATCAATAAACGATCATCATGAAAAGACATCACCATTCTCGAACGAGAAGTACAGTCTATTGGTATATTATATTAAGTCGGATAACAATCTTCAAAGTTGACGTCTCCGTACCTGTTTGAATATCCTTGCACCTAGCACCATAGATATGCTCTATGCCAGTGTCTGGATCCATCTTCTTCAGAAGGTGCATCACTTCAACGTAATTGGCTATGGCAGCACCATACCTGGCAGCAGTGAGAGCGATCGCAAGGTTCATCCGTGCATCATTGTGTTGTCCTGCAGCAGAGGACAGATTCAGAGGGGGGACGTGAGTCACCTCAAGCCACTGACTTGTGGTATGGAAGTGTGTCAGAACAGATCTGTCACATCTGTCCCTGTCATATTCAATCTACGTAATTTTCAGACCAAACTCCGAATAATAATTCTCAGCCTAATTTACAGCGCTCACCATTTTTTAAAGACCCCAGTGTTGATTAACATTCCCCATTAGTGCATAAGCCACACCACATGAAACGGATTCGGAGAAGAAATGTTCCCTGCACTTGGATTCATGTCTAAATCCTTCAACTGTTTTACAAAACCAGCAATGATCTATTCCCCAAGTCAAAGGTCAGAAGTTCTTCAATTTAAAAGTAAAGGTTTAAAAGGTGACAAATGAACAAAGCCTGATTTCATTAGGAAGTGATTCTTATGTACATCATTAAAGATTTATTGGGGGAAAAATCCTTGGTAAAAGAGAACGGTGAATAGAGATGATTAATCACATTTAATGTCGGGGGATTTCTTTCTATTTATTATTGCGACTGAAGTTAAAATCATGAATGTGGTGCTGGGAGCAAAATTGTTCTGCATTGCAGAGGCATAGAGTCTGTGTGCACTGAATTTATAATAACTAGAGGCTAGGTAACCGGTAGTAAGGTTAATGCTAGCACATGCTAACAGCAATTTTACCAGCCATCTCCACAAAGATAAAGGGCAGTTTTTGCAATCAACCACCACAAACACAAACCCCTGCCATATTTGGTTAGCGTGCAGGGCTTAAAATTATATTGAAAATTATTAATTCAGAGCAGAAGGTAATGTTTATTACACTAAACGCATTTAGCTGGTCTCTTAATTCGTGGTGCTGTGTTTCAACGAATAGTGAACAACAAATTTTTCATTGGCAGTATTATTCCACACACACTACAAAAATGTGCCATAAGCCAAACAAACATAACTAAAATCGATACCAAGATATGGGATTTTTGTTGTGTTAAAACTTCTGTAGCATTCGCACCAGAAAAAGAAAATGAATCTTTCAATAACCACAAAAGACAGTTAAGACGGTTTGTTCCTCAGCCATGAAATTGTACGTTCGTTCTGTGGCAATATTTCACATCTCGCCTACAAAATATACAGTCAATTCACTTGATAGTACATTCTGTGAAGCACTTTGAGACGTCTCAACGACGTGATAAGGCGCTATTATCAAATGCAAGGATTATTATTATGTGAGTAAAAGCCATCGATCATTTCCAACTAACATTCCAAATATTTCTGTCTAATTTTATATCAACTAGAATTAAACTACTTGAAGCATGACTGCCTTTGTTTTAATTTAGTGAAATGTACAGAATTCTTGCAAAGTTTACTTTGCTAAAACCCTGGTCATACCTCAAGTCTCAGCAGGTCGGAACGAGTAACATTGTTAAAGAAATAAAGAAATAAACTGACCACATTTAAAGGTTCACAAAACAAGATAGCAAAGATTTCTCATGCAGCACTCCAACAAAAAAATATAATACAGCCTCAGCACAGCCATCAAGTCAGTGAGCAAAGCCAATTTAACTGTGGCTTCCCCTGAGGTAAGTGTAGTTCAGTGTCCTGCCCCCACCCCAACCTTAGCCATAATCCCCATTTCCTAAAGGGAGAATGTGCATTCAAGTGGAGAAAATTCTGCACTGGAATAAAACGATCTAAAATGACAGGGACAATAATGACAATGAATTTCATGTCTCCGAGTCATGAGCTCGCAATGCTTGAGCGGGCTGACTTGTCCAATTAAATTGTTGCAGGTACAACGGGAGGCACAGTTATCATCTGCATGCTCATGGCGATGACTCCTCTGGCTAGTGAACTGTTGTGGAATGCAAAGTGCTGCTGCTTTGCTACAAGAAGACATCCTAAAGGCTCCGATGCACATATCTCGGCAACGGAATATATTTCCTGACAAACACAAGAGGACTGTCTTTAAAGATTGCTTGAGCTCCACATCATGCAGTGCGTAAACAACTGATCTACCAAAAAAAAGCACATCCAAATACCAAGGAGGCTTGCCGTGGCTTCTGAATAACGTCCTCTTCAATGTGACTTCAGCCACATGAATGAATCTGACAGATCACTGCTCAGATTTCAGTCACATTCCATAAAAAAAAATATGTTGCCTTTTTGCCTTCCAAGAGAATCCAGATATCAACAAATGCTAAATGAAGTTTGACAAGTCCCCCTAAGAAATAAAGTTGTGAGTTTGCGGCTACAAAGGAAACCTTGAATAAATGGGACATGCTGTATACACCCAGGCTAACAACTAACATATGGTTTGCTTTTCTTATGCCAACATAGAGCACTTCTAGCCTGCAGTAAAGAAGATTTTCGTACTAGTCTATGACCTGTCATGTTGCGGTTTGAAATGTTGACTCTTTCATAAAAGCTGAATTAATCCATCTTCACGCTCCTTACTTTATTTCCGTACTTATGGTCACCAAATAAACTGGGTCACGATATTATCGACAGCAAAATGACAAAGCTCAGCGTTTCATAAGATATTTATAAAATAAAAAAAAATGCAAAATAGCTTTCTATGGAAAAATTACGTGAAAATAATCTATGGAAACAAATCTTGGAAAGTCTTCATTCTTTGAAAAGGCAGTCTTAACCACAACAACAACACATTAGATTTACACAGCGCCTTTCACTTTTGGGGGGACATCCAAGGCACTGGACAGTCAGGGATTTGGACCCGAGGTGGGGGTTGGAATCATCAGGGATCCTTACCACAAGGATTAAGCCAGGGATGGATTGAGTCACATTCTGAACCCCCATGTGTCACTCTGTCCATTCTAACGCAGTTTAAAAGGCATGGATCAGTTTTCAGAGAAGCATTTTTTTCTCAATGCGCTTTGATTTCACTCGCTAAATCCAATCCCTTACAAGAAACAATGGGATTGCAAACAGTCATTAGATGACAGCTAGGTGGGTTTGAAGAAACGCCCATCAAGAGCTAAATCAGATGTGATTCTTACTGACCAGAACGTGGGTTTCACCAATCGATGGGCTGAAACTGCAGCCACCAAACATTGCGATCCTCCATTGACAACAACAACAACAACAGCATTTTAACTCAACGGTTCCTGAATCCTCAAAAGTAGGAGACACCATTTCATTGAGCATTAATGAAACTAGATTTGTGGATTGCTTTACCAACGCAAGATGAGACTAAACCTTGGTCTATCACTTGCCACTGCAGTGAATTAGTCTGAAAAAAAATCTGAAGAAGCAATTACTCACTAAACAAGTAAAGAATTACTCACTAAACAATTACCCACTAAACAACTCACTCATGGATAATCTTCTCAGTTACATACATCAGTGGAGCAGGCTAGCAATTGGGGAGGAGGAATAACAACAATAATCCTTGCATTTGATATTGTGCCTTATCACTTCATTGAGATGTCTCAAAGCGCTTCACAGAATATACTATAAAGCAAACTGACTGTGTATCTTGTGGGCAAAATGCAGCAGCCAATTGCGCAAAACAGTGTCCAACAAACAGTTAATTTAATGGCGTTAACCGGAGGTAAAATATATTTTTCTCTCCCACACCCTGAGGAAATAGTTTGAAGAAAACGTGTTCACCCTCTATTTTTTCTCTCCAAATCTGCATTTTTATACAATTTCTAGATCGTAGAAAAGTTCTCGCAGGTATATGTTGTCTTAAAAGTAACATTCAGCACGTTGTTCATACTGGCAAGCCCTTACACTATCAACAACAACAACAAGAAAATGACATTTATAGAGCCCCTTTCACATTGGGAGGACTATACCCACATCATGCAGTTAATAAATCCTTTCATTAACAGCTGCCTTATTTATAAATTTGCAAATCATTGTCATGAGCACTTTGCTGAAATTTTAATGAAACATTTTGCCTTGTAGCTTAGCTGTAAAACCTAAGAGTTTACGTGCCATGAGGCATCTTTACCCTTTATTTCTTACACATGACATCTTATGATGCTCTCAAACACTTTTTATGGCCAACAAATTTTAATGTGGATTAACTATAATATCTGAAAAATATTTGCCTTTAAGCATTCAAACGCACGTGAATTTTTAAAAAAAATTACAAAGATTGCATTTTCTTAAATACTACTATCCAACATGGCAGCCAAGAATCTCCGATTTTACCTTCACAAGCAGTTATTTAAAGTCTTATCAAACATCATATAAAAATCATTACCATCATAGTACACAATAGCTCCTTTAAGCTGGTCTTTCTTCAGCATTGGGAAAAGTTCCAGAGCACTTGACTTGCTGATGATATAACTTCTTTTCAAGCACTGACTTCCAGCCACGAGGTCATATACCTTTATCCCAAACCAGAAGTAAGGCAGCTGCCACCATCTACATTATTGGGGAAAGATGAAAGTTACTGTGGTAAACTATTAATAATAATAATCCTTGCATTTCATTTAGCGACTTACAACGACAACAACTTGCATTTACATAGCGCCCTTCACACTGGACAGTGTCCCGGAGAGATTATCGCGCTCATAACAAAGCCTTATCACGTCATTGAGATGTCAAAGCGCTTCACAGAATATACTGTCAAGTGAACTGACTGTATATTTTGTTTATGGGTGAAACACAGCAGCCAATTGCACACAGCAGCGTCCCACAAACAGTCGTGCATTGAATGACCCAAACATATTTTGTGAACGAAATTGTATATCTTATTATGCTTCAAAAGGTTCAGTAAATGTTCTAGCATTTTAAATGATTGTACATTGAACTGATTGCATATGGGTATATTTCAAGGCTGTCTTTAGTGTTATAGTTTTTTGCTTGTTAACATTACATTAGATTTGGAAAACCAGCCTTAATCTTAAGTAATTATAGAAGGATAAAAAGGAGTCAAATATCTTCAGAAGAGAGGAGAAGCAGGATAGGAAAGGTAAGAGAAAAACTGTAATTTAGAAATGAATATGGTTCTGCATGAAAAAAAAGAACAACAAATTGGTATGAAATGGTGTCTGACCTGCAATGAGATGTACATAAAATTAATGGTGGTGAGGTAAGATACAAACAAACTCTAACATTATCATTGGGTTTTTACACATCTTTGCTTGTTTTGACATTTCCTACAAAATCCAGACGAACTTGCATGCAGTTTTTCATAATTTTTAGCTAAAGATATTCTAATATTTAACAATAAAAAGGTTAAAAAATAATATATAGAAATCAGATGTTGCACTTTACTACATTAAGATGTTCTTACTTGTACACAGGAAGCAAAATAGGCAGCGGTTTGGAAATGTGTGGGGCAATGTCGAGCAGGTTGGCCCGTTCACGGAGTGCTTCTTTCACTAATTTATACTACAAACAGAAAAAATTGAAGTGATCAACATTATTGACATCATCAAACCAATGTGTTTAACTTCCCGCACCATAGATATTATAGCCCTTGGGGGAGAAATAGATTCTTTTGTTCTTGGATATGAAACAACTGCATGAAACAATGGCAGCAAGTCAGGTTGGATCGATGGAGCGTTATTGGCAGCACTAAACTATGCCACACACATGCGCAGCCATTTTACAACGCTACTATATATTAACATAATAAATGACACATTATACATGTGGAAATATACATCAAACCGCAATATATAATTCTCCTCAATTAATAATTATAGTTTTTGCTTTTCTGTTTTGCCCAAAGAATTAAAAAGCTGCAGACAATAACGGGACTTGGATCCTGCTGAATCCGTGTGTTTTATTAGGTTAATGATTCTAGAAGGGCTCCGTCTAAATGTCGTGAAAAGGCAGACAAATTATCAGGCACAGATGTGGTTTGATCAGTGAACCCAATTAAGCATATTAATTTTAATGGCGATAACTTAGTAACCAGAAACTAATCTATGCTGAGCCAGAATAAATGGATACGGGTATATTTAAACTCAAGAAAGCTAAGAGTTTTTACCTGTTCGTAGTCAAGATTCGTGAATGCTTTCTGCAGGTATCGCACTCCACCGTGGATCAACTTTGTGCTTCTGCTACTTGTCCCTGATGAGAAGTCCTCTCTCTCTATCAGTGCGGTTTTAAGACCTAGGCAGAGGCAGAATCATTATCCTTTTAAAGTGTTTTAAACTCCCTTCAAGACTCCTCTCAAGACCCTCCTCTTTGACCGTGCCTTCGGTCATCCTCCTACCCCCACCACCCCCACCCTCCACCCCCTCCTGATCCCAACCACCAGCTTCGGTGTCCCTGGCTGTCCAGTGCCTTGGGACGTCCTCCTGACATGAAAGGCGCGAGACAAATGTAATTTGTTGTTGTTGTTGAATAAAAAAGGTCTTCATTTATTCTACTGAACCAGAATAAAAGTAATATGTTTGCCCACAAAATATACAGTTAATTCACTTTCCAGTATATTCTATGAAGCACTTTGAAACGTCTCAATGAGACGGTAAGGGGCTACATCAAATGCAAGGATTATTATTATTATTATTTTGATTTCTAGCAGAGATCCATGTAACATGCACGCTTTACATGTGGTGAGCCACTGAGTGTTCTGAGGTAGAACAATTTCTCAAAAAGTCCCTATGAATTGCAGTCGGTGTTCAGAAACCTATTTGGGTAACAGGAAACAACTGTTTGACCTGGTGGGGTAAATGCAAAATGTAATTATCAGGATCTGCAACTCTAATCAACTCAAGCAATTAGTTTTATTTGATTATGGACTTCAGATCAATGTGATATAATTAGGAGCTATTCAGTTGGAGAAAGGCATTACATAGGGCACATGGACAATACATGGCTAAGCAGTGAGGAATGAATGAGGTTACAGACAGCAACAAATTAAACCGCATCCATGCGGTTTGTGATTACTTAAACCTCTTCACTAGAAATTCTCGTATGAATTGGCACTATTAATGTAAAGCTAACACATCCTTTTTGTCATTGTCAATGGGTTCGGTCTTAATTTGTTTCAACGATAATTAAAGGAGGATGAAGATATAGAAAGAAATTGTTTCAATACAGGTGATTTCAGATGATGTTGCAAATCAGCCAACAACAACAACTTGCATTTATATAACGCCCTTCACTCGGGAAAGCGTACTGGAGTGCTTGTGCAGCCAAGTGCACCTAACATATTTCTGCGAGGACTAAAGTTTTTTTTTTTGGAAGAGATTATTACCCGCAGAAAGCCCACCAATCGACTAACAACCGAGTGCCCACTTATTACTAGGTAAACAGAGGTGTGTGGAATAAGGAAACTTGCATAAGATATCAAACTCGCGAGGCGAGCGTGCTGAGCCCTACACTACAGGACTCCACTTTATTAACACGTGGGAAGGCAGACGGCTTTTAACCGTGCAGAGTGGTGTCACCGGTCAGGTATTCAGTGCCATCACAACGCCAAAGCTCTGATCCCTTGTAAGGCTGGTAGAGATTTTACGGATCCCAATTTACTGCGCCATAACAGAGCTCTTCGGTAGCAGCAATTTTGTAGATTTTTTTTTAAATTACGAAGGGCTTACTTACCCCGAGTCACGGCGTCCAGAGCACAGCCACATCCTGTTGCCCCTCCTCCAACCACAAGGACATCAAACTCTGTGGTACTTTGCAGAGAAGCCACCTGATCTGCTCTTGATGGTAAACCATTTTGAAAATCGCCTCCGTTATTTCCTACCACATGAGCATTCAAAACGTGGTGGCTCTGTGCAATTAAAACAGAGTGACAATGAAGCAAGACTCCAGGCACATGAATTTTCCATACGTCTCCAATTAAAAGGCACTGAGGTGATAGCAATAGAATAGGAACAGACTGTTTTTTGGCACTATTAAGTACTCCGTTTTCAGAAGATGTGAAATAATGTTCATTAACAATAGCAAAAAATGCTTTATAAATCTTCCACGTCTTTTATTTAGAGCTAGAGAGAATTCACGTGTGTAAAAATAAATAATAGTGTGCAAATAAATGATCAAGGCCACGTGATACTCTCTGGAATGGTTTCAAACTCTGGGCTACATCACCCATAAGACAAATTGTACATCACTCCAAGTTGAATAGCAATATGTTGAGTGTCCTTTGCATCAGCAGTAATATCATTTCTACTTAATTCTGCTAGTGGTAACACACAACCCAAAAAGAGACACCACCAACAAAACACCCTATCTGCATTTCTAGAAATTAATTTTACAATTTATTGTGTGTTTGATGCAATAAAAATAGCAATTCTATCATTCCATCATTGAAATGAAAAGCTACCACCCTTCCTCCATTCAAAGCAATCAAAACTGCCTCAGACATCCTATACATCATCACAAAACCTTGGCTATTCTATAAAACCATATAAAGTTCTTATTGATAAAGATAATTTTTGTGCTAATTACAAATTGTGACCCTTCTATTGATGGGTTATGTTCTCTATATCAAGTTATTGTGACATTTACGGATCCTAAACCGGACAGTGCATTACACAGAACCTTTCCACACTAAACCTGATCATTCATGGGTTTACCAAACTTTTACCAACAATTCTGTTAATGTGACTGATATATTTAACATAAATAAGCCACATTTCCTTAAAGATATCTAGAAAGCAGGGTATGAATTTAAAAATATCAAGATTCGTTGATTTGTTTAATACCACATTGAGTGTAACTAGTTATACAAATATTTTACTAAAATAATAAGCGGGTTGAAAAGCCATCTTATTAAGCAGTTTACTTGGTTAATTCCTTCAAAAAAAAGTCTCACTCCAAGGGGGGAAATAGAAGTTTAATAATGACTAGATGTTTTATTCAAATCTGCACGCAGAATTTATACTGAATGATTATATCAATTTTGCTCCTGCTGAAACACAATTAGACTTGCAAATTCCTGAATGTACAGTACCAAGACATTTGCAATTTAGGGCTTAACAGCAAACGAGACCTATTAATTATCATCTACTTCCNAAAAAAAGTGCATATTTAAAGACCGCAGACAATTAACAGGCAGGTTTGTCCTGTAATCACATTTTAGTTTAATGCAAGACTTCATGCAAATTACTGTACGAGACAAAAATTTCATTTGTTTTCTCATTGGGGTTACTCACAGATCATGTTCTCTTGTTAAAAGCATGTAGTACTTTAAACATGTATCAGACTGTAATGAACTTAATATGAAACATTAATGTACATAAATCACACACTGTATGTTCAGATGTTGCCCTATCTTGTTTGAGAATTTGAAAGTAATAAAAGTAAAGGATGGATTTGAGTTCCTGTATAATTCTCTTTGACAAGAGAAGAGGTACAAGCAGGTCAATTAAGTAAATGTGGTCATTGCTGTCACACTGGAAAGACAATATTCAACCTACCCCTTTTTCATGTTGTTTCTTCGGAAATGAGCAAAGGAACAAAACAAGAAAAAACAAACCATAAGTAGTGAGAAACAAACAAGTGATGATAATCCTTGCGTTTGATACGGCCTTATCAAATCTTGGAGACATCTCGAAGCACTTCCACAGAACATACTGTAAAGTGAATTGACTGTGTATTTTTTGGGCGAAAGTACTGTGCAATAACTATCGTTCAATAAATTCCCAGCTTCAGTGTTGAGCTAAGCTTGCATATAATTTTCACTGCAATTTACCTGGTTTCAGTTCCAAAAAAATTTTCATTTATTATTAACACAAAAGTCATCATTCATTACTACATGACTGTAAATGAATAATATTCTACCGGAAACAACTGAAAGCCAAAGTTTTAATTCTTCAAGGATTAAAATACCAAAAAACCACAAGAGTAATGAATTCCATGTTATGGGAGAATGATAATTATTTTTTTTCTTCCTTCCTCGCACATCAAACCGAGACTGCTTCAGGCAGCCTTCCCCAGCCTCTGTCAGTGCAATTTGTAACCGGTCACTTGGTTGACAATGTTTGCGTGGCTCACGCTCATCAATATGGCACAGCGCCTCACCTCTACCTGATGTGATGCCTCAGACACCTTGGCTGCAACCAAAACCTTGTGCACGAGACACGGTGTACCAAAGGCGTGTGCGTTATCATTCTGCAATTCCATGTGTTGGTACACAAACAAGGCTGCTTTGTTTATAAAAACGAAACCCACTTATTTAAATCTGCTCTTTTCCCTAATTTTGCTGCGTAAAACTTAAACGTTATATAGGGTATCAATCTCGCCTGGGAGTCAGAGGTTGTGGGTTCCAGCCTCTTGTAGGCTTGCTTCATTTTTTGGTATTCTAATCATCAGAAAATGAACGAGGTGGAAAGAAACAAGAAAGCGCAAACCACTGCCTTTACAAACCATTTAGAAGGGAAAAGTAGAGCTCAATCCTAGTCACGCTCATCACATTTAAACTGCAGCCGGGAACATTCAACTCGTCAGTGATTCTAAACATGTCCAGCAGGATTCGCAACGCACAACCTGTTTATGGACCTGCACTATAATAGTTTAGTATAGAATTCCATTGGCGTAAACTAGGGTACGAAACCTCTATTTTAATATCTGGACCAGAAAGACTAGCAAGACATGTTATATGTGCTTTCACTCTCACCTTCTGCCACCATCACCATCTGCCCTCTGGATGTGCAAACCAATCACTGTTGGGCCATTATAACTGCATAGATTTTTCGATGAATTGTCCCAGTGTGAATGGAGGTATAAATGTGGCCCTTCCAACGTCTGAACCAGGAGTAGACTGTAGCAGTTTCACTCTTGTTGTAACACTAGTGAGATTTTAGTTTGAGGAACTGAATACTTTGACGCTGTCAAGTCAGGACCGGTGTGTCAAGGGAAAATAATATCAACTCTTGTGCCATACTCTCACAATCAGAAAACTTTTCTGGATTACAATTAATACCAACATTTTTGGACCACATCCAAACATAAAGAAAGGTCAACATTTCTCATTTAATTTAGAAAACATGCTGTTGAAGATGCAAAATTCCCCCAGGCCATTTATATTCTGATTTTAGAATCAGAGGGAGGAAAAAAATTAAAAAATCCCTATTTTGCTCACTTTGACAATCTCGGCTTGATATAAACAAACTTGAAGATTATACAGCGAAACCAATGAAAGTTCCACCAGCAGTTTGTTGTGCTTTTCTCACTGGATATTCAGGTGTCTAAAATGAATGCACGGTATGTTTTTACCTAATCATTTCACAAAAAGAATGAAACATGTTACATGATCCTGTGTGTGTTGTTTAATATGATATAATGACAACTTGCATTTCCATAGCGCCCTTCACACGGGGCAGCGTCTCGTAGAACTTAACAGTGGCAGAGCCTGACACCGAGCTGGGGAGAGGAAGGAGGTGACCGTGGTCATGGTCGAAGAGGAAAGCCTTCAGTTGTGCTCCAAAAGGTGGGGCCAAGACGGAGGGATTCGGGGAGAGAGCTCTAAAGCTTCAGGGCGTAGTGGCTGAAAGGGAGATTAGTTCTGTGGGAATCACCTTCCGTCTCAGTAGCACATGTTAAGTGTTTCTCTCATGTTGCTTTGATAGTAAATTCCTCAGCCACTAAGGCACTAAGGATTTCCACCAGGTGGTAGTACAGTATCTACAGTGAATTAACAATCTGTCAGCACCAATCTAACTGGTAGAGCCCAGACAACGCCCGAGAACCTGTTCTACATCATGTCCTGCACACACACACCTATTTAATTACTGTTCTTACTAGCGTGAGTTCAATTGTTTAGGTTAGCTCTGACATTACATTACTGAATGCATTATATTTGGATATTACTAAGCATGGGTGTGATAGAAAATACTATAAAAGCTATCAGATAATGGAAAGTGACTATGAAGGCCAATGAGCCTTTATCCAAAAGTTATTTGAGGCAACAAGTGGTAGCAAGACGGAACACGTAGTTCCTTTAAACTCTTTGTAATGACTTGGTTACTTACTGCTGTTCTATTCAATGGTTTCTGACGTCAGTTTCCTCACACAGGAAATGGTTCCTGCTTGTTGGCAGATCGAGTTGTTTTCCCTTGCTGGGCCAGTTTAGTAATCAAAATGGATGAAATTGTATTTTTGAAATTCGATGCAGAAAATAATTATTTACCAGCATGAAGTGTACTTCTGCACCAAATTAATATTCATAATCTAGTTTAAAAGCATTTCTAGCTCCACAGTCATTGAAGCACCAACATAATCTCTTTATAATAAATGGTCTCACATGGCATAAGAAGCTGAGAGGAAGCTATTTTTTCTCAGCCCAGTGAGAAACAGTTGAAAAGAACAGTTGGGAATCCTGTAGCGTATATTGGATAGAGCACTCGCCTCGCAAGTGAGAGACGTGGGTTTGATTCCCGGGCAGGGTGAAACGTTGGACAAGTTTCCTTACTCCACACGCCTCTGTTTACCTAGCAGTAAGTAGGAACCCGGCTGTTAGTTGATTGGCAGATCGCTTTCTGGGGGTAATAACCCTTCAAAAAATAATAATAATAATAAGTTGGTCACTCAATCCACGGCTGTTTGTGGGACAGTGAGCAATTTGCTGCCACGTTTCGCCCAAAAAATACACAAGTCAATACACTTTACAGTATATTCTGTGAAGAGCTTTGAGACGTCTTAAAAGACGTGAAAAGGCGCTGTATCAAGTGCAAGGATTATTGTTATTATAAAAGAGGGCACAAAACCAAATCTTATCATTCCAGCAAAACCTGTGACATTACAAGATATTGCATGGCTTGAGAAGGCTTTTAATGTCGGGGCTGCAAGGCAATAAAAAAAAATTACAAATTATTTTGAAAATTCAGTACAAACTGAAATCAAAGAACATTAAAGTGGCATTAGGTTCTGAAATGCAATGGTTGGCACAGGTTTTGAAAAAAGATTCAGAAAAAAATTGAATCCTGCTGGTAAATGGACACGATAAAACAAAGTGATAATGTGCTATATCGAATGCAAGGATTATTATCAGTATTATGATGATGTTTCACTAGGACCAATAGGATATCTACTCTGACACTCCCGAAACAAAGTTATTGACGGGACTGAGTGTTTTCAAATTTCTTTTTGAAACATTTCAATACTGCATTCTTAGCCCCATTGGCGAGGTTTCAGGTGCAAATCCCTGACTGTCCAGTGCCTTGGGATGTCCTCCCGACGGAAAAGGCATTATATAAATGCAATTTGTTGCTGTAGTAACTTTGAGTGATGCTTTTGTAACGATTCTATGGTTGAGAATTACAATACCTCTGATTATGTGTGTGGAGTCAAAACAAAAAGTACTTTATAGAAGCAATATCTTACCTTATTCTTGGGTTCTGGTAATTGTGAAAGCCCAAACACTGCTGTGAGAGCACCGCCTCCCAAAAGAAAGGTCCCTTTTGCAATCTTTCGAAATGCCATTCTTTTCTCTGCAGTAAAAAAAATCACTAAATTATACACTTTCCCTGAAATTCCTTTACTCTGAGATGCAGGTGCACGTTGCACATATCTTCGCAAAATGGTGTTCAAATACATCATGTCATCAGCTTTTTGTGCAGGTTTAGCAACAGGTACAATTTTTGACTAATATTTAGACTTGCCACCTTGAAAAATCTCTATAAATGAATTACACCCCGGTGAAAATTCAACAGTGAATGTAACGCGCGTGTACTTAATCCTTTCATCGGATCTGCAGAGAATGTAACACGATATAAATAATAATAATAATAATAATTCTTGCATTTGATATAGCGCTTTTCACGTCGGGAGGACGTCCCAAAGCGCTTCACAGAACACACTGTAAAGTGAATTGACTGTATATTTGTGGGCGAACGCGGCAGCCAATTGCGCACAGCAATGTCCCACAAACAGTCGTGGATTGAAAATGACCAATTTATTATTGTTTTGGTTTTGGAGGGATTATTATTAGGCTCTGTGTGGAGTAAGGAAACTTGCCCGAGGTTTCGCCCTCTGCCTGCAATTGAACTCAGGTCTCTCACTTGCAAAGCGAGTGCTCTAACCACTGAGCTACAGGACTCCAATAGCTTGAACACTTCTCTTTGTTCGTCATTCAAATTTAAGAACATATTTTAAAGTTATGCATAAAATAAATAATAAAATACACGGGCTGTTCTGAAAAAGTAGTTTCAAGCGAAGATCAAAATGATTGTTAGTGGCTATAATGGTGCTTCAGGCACTGCTTTCTAGGATTTGTTAGGATTACACCAACGAGTTCTAAAGCCTTAATTCCAACAGTGAGTTGGTCTGACCTGCTGTTAAGAATGGTTTCAGGTGATATCGATAACAGCAATTCCAAGACCACATAGGCATGAAAAAGCACCAATTTAAGCTTTACTATTAATTATGAACTGTCGAGACCCAACATGCGTGCCCAAGCCGCCCACACTGAGAAAAATATTTCTCTGAGGAATAGACTTTACTTATTATTAATATTTCTGCTTGAATTGCCGCATACTTATTAATAGCTAGAGTCCAGTTAAGATGTCTATTGAAAAAAATTAGTCTCTTGCCATTAGGAGACAATTTCAGTTTCATGAAAAATCTGTTGATTTTACTCCTTTGGATGACAATGGTATTTTACATAATAATTAACGGAATTCAAATTAAGAGCACATGTGTTCTGCTATGGTGTTTCTGGTTTGCTTGAGCTCCAGTCAGTAAAGGATTTGGGTATATTTTTCGATTATGAAGAGGAAAAGTAGACACTTACTATTGTACTGACTTACTGAACAGAGAATTTATTTAGATGTGAGGAGAGCTGTACAACTCCGAAACACCACTGCCCAGAATGAGTCGATGAGAGTGAAATACACTTTTCTAAGCAGCTTATTGCATGAAGGATCTCCCAAGTTTCTGAAGTTATTCCAAATGTCTCTTTTATTGTTTAACCATATAATTCACTCAATAAATATGCCTGAACCTGCCTGCATTCAGTGCCAAAACGCTAAATCAAATGCAACTTTATGGATAAAACCTGAAATCTTCTCAATATATACTGTAGTACCATATTTTTGAGAAAACAAAATGTTGTGTAAAACATTAATAATAATAATCCTTGCATTTGATATAGCGCTTTTTACGTCGGGAGGACGTCCCAAAGCGCTTCACAGAACACACTGTAAAGTGAATTGACTGTATATTTGTGGGCAAACGCGGCAGCCAATTGCGCACAGCAATGTCCCACAAACAGTCGTAGATTGAAAATGACCAATTTTATTATTGTTTTTGGTTTTGGAGGATTATTATGCGGTGATTCACATATACTGAAAGAACTACAGATATTATATCCAATATCACATAAGCCACAAATATGCCAATAGTGCCAAGCACAAACTGTTTTCATTTATTTGCCTTTGCAGCTATTTCTCATGGGATTCCTGAATAGAAACACAAGTAGAGTCTCTTTCCAGTAACTACTAGCACTGCATCAAGTGAACCATGAGAGATCACAGAATATACTCTGAGGTGAATTGACTGTATATTTTTGTAGGCTAAGCTTGGCAGCCTGTTGCACACAGCAGTGTCCCATAAAGTGTAGTGACTGTTAATGAAAATTGCTGGTAAATGCCAGTACTGACATTATGATTGCGAGCAGAAGATAGTGATCAAGAATTTATCACCTAGTGAATTCCAGATGTGAACCTGTGCCCCTACTATCTCATTCAGTGCCCTGAAATGCCAACACACTGGCTGTCGGGAGGTTTTGTTAAATTTTCTCCCGCTTTTATGTTGCTTCTTCGTAAGTACGTCTGCTGCAGACAGATAAGTTTCACCAATACACTGGCTTCAGGAAACAACATAGTGGAACCACTCTGGCTGATGGCCTTGGCAAACCAGTTAAAATACTCTGGCACAACTGATTTAGCTGGGGATTCCCAAGGGCCATGTTTTGTGCATCCATGATAGACAGCTGTCTGTGGTATTTGACCTAAAGAATAGAATAAGAGCAGTGGATTATTTGGAAATGCAGCAAATTGTCACATTACACCTGTAGAGTAAAAAATAAATTAGTTGTTTGGAAATAAAAAAATTGTGTTCTAACATAAAAATTTAGTTTATGTAAATAGAAGGATAAGCTTTGTTAAACTTTAGGCAATACTTTGATAATTTGATTTCTGAGAATGTATTTTACATATACAGTGTAACAAACCTGTAATAATTATCCTTGCATTTGATATAGTGTCTTGACATGTCATTGAGACATTTCAAAGCGTTTCACAGAATACGCTGTAAAGTGAATTGACTGTTTATTTTGTGGGCGAAACGATTTAACCCAACCATATATGTCAAGTCTAATATATACCAACAAACGTGATCTGCTGGTATACAATAATAAAATGTCAGTAAATTATCCTGGTGACCTAGCAAGATTATGCAAGCCAGCCTAAGCACACAAACCTATTTATGTTTTAATAACCACAGGAGCACTGACATCACTCAACACAAGTTAGACAACCTGGCTATGAATAGCAGCAAACAAAAAGGCTACGTGTGGTTCAATTCACTTCAATTACAAATTGGCATCTCCCCTCCCAACACAAGACATGTTCGGTCACGCCACCTGCTTATTGCTCATGGTTTGGGGATCACACACTTGCTTCACATGCTTAGGCTCCTAATAATACCTTCTGGAAATAGTTAAACAGGATGCATCCCTCCAGGGAGAGGGTGCACATCCCATCCCGATCTATCTCTCGGAATTTCCACGTGCAGATGGGATGCATGGAATTCTCAATTGGGTTTGGATAAGAACTTAACAAATTGCAGGGCAGAAGAAGACCGAGGTCTATCCAGTTCGCCTTCCAACATCCTGGCAGTCGCTTGCACATGTCCCATAGGAGTCCTGTAGCTCAGTGGCGAGAGCGCTCGCCTCGCAACCGAGGGACCTGGGTTTGATTCCCGGCCAGGGCTCAGGGGCTGGATAAGGCGCTGTATCAAACGCAAAGGAAGGATGTCGTGTCCCAAACTGGAGACCCTTAATTGCGGCGACGGGTTGCCCCGCGGGTCAAACACCCTCCCCGGGTTGACCACCAAAAGAAAAACACACAAGAGACCCTGAGCTGAGATGCAAGGACCTGGCTGAACATCAGCTTAAGTTGCTGTAAAGTTCAGGCCACTTTACCCCACCTACAGACAGCCTTCCCAACCACTAGCAGCCCAATGAGGATGTGAGAGCTGTGACTAGTTGGGGGGTTGGGCTGTGGTTGGTTGTGATGCCGGTGGAACAGGAGGAGGAGGAAGAGGAACCAACAAAATAGGGAAGCAAAGCATCATCAGCCTGGGCTGGGAGCTGGGCTGAGGCTCAACTTCCCCCACACCCCCTGCCTGCATTTCCTGGAGAGAGAGAGAGAGAGAGGAGAGAGAAAGAGAAAGAAAGGAAGGAAGGAGAGAGAGAGAGAGAGAATGGTTGCAGAGAGAGAAAGGCAAAGGCTTAAACAAATGTGCACAGCAGAACGCGAGAGAGGAACATCCATCCCTCCCATCAGCAGAGCACAGCCTGAGAGAGGGGTTGTTGATGGTGTGGGAGTATCTACACAGGATGTCATGTATCCACTGCTGATACATTGCTCCCTCCCCTCCCCATCCCCTCCCCTCCCCATCCCTCCCTCCACCAAACACTCACCAAACTGCACCTCTCGTCTCCTTGCACATCACTTCCCCCAACGTCTGAAATAATTGTTGCTGCAATCTCTTTCTACCTCTCTCTCTCTCTATATATAATATATATATATATATGTACTGTACACACACACACACACACACCCCGGGCTGGTGTCTCGCTTCCAGCCCCAACCTCCTGCACAGATTGACAGCGTACAGCAGCCAAACAGCTCTCCCCCACTGGAGGCGAAGGTACCAATCAGACGGTCCAATGTGGGTCCAATGGGTCCATCAGGGCGAGGGCTGTGTGTGGGAGTCGCCTTCCCTGCAACAGTGAGACAGATGCTCAGGGGTGGTGTAGCTCAGGCAATCCCAGGTGATGTGGTCCAGGAGTGTCACTGACATCTCTATTTCAAAGCTGCAGTGCTCATTTTTATATATATATATATATATATGTATATATCAACATATGTGATGCTTATCTGACTTCATTGTGACATGACCATTATGCAGCTGTGTCACACCAACCCTCTCTGTGTGTGTTGAATGTGACTGTGGGCTATAAGAACCTGAGGGAGTGTGCAACCACTAAGGCCACTTGGCCCATCCATTCCATCACCTGTAACCTACCTGTTCTGTTCTGTTCCGCCCACCGCAGAGGAATGAAATTGAGCTTCCACCCCTGATCGGAGGCTTGTGGGCCAGACCCCCCCCCCACTACACGTCAGGGCTTGACGTTACCTTAAGGCTGACGAGCACGACAATAACTTGAATTTATATAACTTGCAATTCGCAGCATTATGTGGAAGCATTTATACATGAGTGTGTGTCCGGTGTTATAGGTTACCTGATCTGGTGCAGAAAATGCATTGATGGACGGTTTTCTGGGGCAAAAAAACTGAGGCACTACATTAGGTCAACGCATAGCTAAAACAGACAAAACAAATACTGTATTCCCCACTTCTCTGGTTGAACTGTAGTTGTAGGAAAATCCAGTGATGTAATAATTGTAACCACATCAACAGAATGTGTTGTCATATTTTTTGTTTCTAATTCTGTGATGACGTGACTATTTGTGCTCTTGATACTGTATTGATTTGGATTTTTATTCCAATTCATTGACGTAACCTGACAGACATATCATTTCCCTAGACCTAAATTGTTAAAACGCCCTTTTTTAAAAAAAAAACATTCTAAGTAACTCCCAGTTTCTAAGTTGACAGTCCAGTGTGTAATTAATCTACACTGCCAAGTTTCATCACTGATCTGGGCTGACTAAACTGATCACAACCAGAATAGTTTCTATTGCCGTCAGTGTTACTGGGCTAGGTAGGATAAAATAACCCAGCATTTTCCCTCCCCATGATTGCATAGACTATCATTAGTCAACGGTCTCACGCGTGAAGAATGATGAAATGTTTGAAGGTTGTTCTGCCCAAAGAACAAATTGTACAGCATAACACCAAGATTACATTTGTACAGCACCTTTCACATCAGGAGGACGTCCTAAGACGCTGGACAGTGTACAGCATTTCAGACCTGAGCTGGAGTCGGGGGGAGAGAAGGGAGGGGAGGGGATGGCACGGTTGAAGAGGAGGGTTAGAGGGGGTGAGGCGGAGTGATTGGAGAATGGAATTCCAGAGGTTGGGGGCAGAGTGGCTGAAGGCTCTCCCGCCAGTGGTGGGTTGGGTGGGTATATCAAATATAAGGCTTGTTATTGTTATTTTTTGCAATTGAAAGGAGGAGGAAAGTACAATTGGATACACATATATGTTTATTTTAAAGTAACATTGTGACTTGCAGTGAAAGTGAAACAAATTTCTTGCAGAATAATATCTTTTATACAATGTGTATGCCTCTAAACTAGCAGTGAAAGCATAATGGTTGCTCAGCAATCAATAAAATATGTATCATAACTTATACAGCTTCACATTCTGTCAAAATACAATAACAGTGTCAATTATGTCACAAATAAAAGACTATGAAACATGCTCGTAACAAATCCTGTGCAGTGGAAACCAAAGCCCACAATCAATACAGATCGGATTAAAACCAAAGAGAAAAGGGACACAATCTAACATTACCGAAAATATACAGAAGACAAACCGTACAGAAAAGGACAGCAGAGGCCAATGTTATATACTATGGAATCAGTTTGGCCAACAAACAACATAATAATAATAATCCTTGCATTTGATATAACGCCTTATCACGTCGTTGAGGCGTCCCAAAGCTCTTCACAGGATATACTGTAAAGTGTCCAGATAGCGCAAATATAACTAAATAGAAATAAATACGACCGAGGTGTCTCAATGGATAAACAGACCACTGTGCATTGCTTTGAGCTATATAGAACTAGGAACATTACTGATTTGATCTGAAATGATGGGGGAAGGATTGTATGTCAATAAAGTAATTATTATCGTGGGACACCGCTCTGCGCAATTGGCTGCCGCGTTTCGCCCACAAAACATACAGTCACTACACTTTCCATTATATCTTGTGAAGCGCATTGAGACATCTCGAAGATGTGATAAGGCGCTATATCAAATGCAAGGAATATGATATGCTGTGAGAAACTCTTTTTTGAATAGTGAATTGGGTTCTTTAAGATCTCTTAATGGAATGTTATGAAAAGTTAAACGTTTGTTTATTCTAAACAAGTGGAAAGTTTCTTTTTTTTTGTATTTTTCTCTGTTGCTGAAAGTAACAATAACAATTATCTACCCCAGAAAAAAAATCCAACTCACGTTACATCAACAACTGTCTAACACACCTAACACACTGCAGCATTTCAGCACTTTATCTGAATTCTATGTCCAAACAATACAGATGAAACTAATGACAAATGGTTATCTGGGGGAAAGCAAAGGTAAGTTGATTTATTGACAGATGAATTGAGCTTGAGGGGGATAGAGGACGGGAAGAACGCATTGAGTGTCACAGAGGTTTTTTGATGCATTGTTTTAATCTTCTGGATTAATCCCCATGATATGGGAGGGACATGCTGGAGGAAGGTTATTGCCTGAGGCAATTTGCTGATTGATTGCACATTACACTGACAACGTTATGTCAATCTACACAATTCAAATAAACTTGACTTTGGCCTCATGTTCCACTCAATTTGCAGAGTCCGACCTTAGGTCTGAAAAATGAAATGTCAGAGCAATGTTGGAAGTATAGTCCTGGCACATCAGTGATGTCACCAACAGTTAATCAGATATATATCTGCAAATGAGAAACCCAACCGAGGTCTGGCCTACACCCTTTACTGTACTATCTGGAGTTCCATAGAGCAGTGGTTAGTGCGCTTACCTCGCAAGCGAAAGGACCCAGGTTTGATTCCCCGGTGGGCCGAAACCTTAGGGAAGTCTCCTAACTCCGCACTCCTCTCTTCACCAAGCGGTAAGTAGGAACCCAGATTGGCGTTTTGCTTTCCAGGTTTAATAATCCCTCCAAAAAAATGAATAAATAAAAAATGTAGCCACTCAATTCTCAACTGTTGCTGTGCCCAATTGACTGCCGTGTTTGCCCGCAAAATACTCAGTCAATCCGCTTATTTCCTTCATAAATTGGACTTGACTAGAAGAAAATTAAGAAGTTTGGCAACATAATTTTTTCCTGAAAAAGCCCTTTAAAACAACCAGTTCCAGGTATTGCATGTTGCTTTAAATGATCAAAAACGTATCTTCCTTAAAAGAAGCAACAGATAAAACCGCAGATAAGTGTGAGGGAAGCTTCCATTTCCTGTGACTAAGTCAACTTACAATTTGTTTGGCGCTTGATATAATTTGACAGAAATAGCTGATGGGAGGAAGTGTACATGTCCATCCCGCCTGCCTTGTAATGGAATGTGGTTGCCGTTTACCAGGTTTCACATGTGGTTGGTGAGTGTTCCCATTGCCATTCCTCCAGTGAGGAGATACGAGAGTGCAAAAACTCTGGAGCACTCAGCAAAGTCCCTTTTGCATCCACCAAAATCATCTCTTAAGCAGAACTTGGGATAATAGGCCCTCACTCTGCAAAGCCACGGTTTCGTCTCAACTCTGATCTTCCGTTTGGCAAGGAGGGAGCTCCAAACTTTTGATGGAGTTTTAGTTCAGAACGTGATTCATTTAATCTATATTTAAATATATTGAATGTATATTAGCAGAAATCACCTGACCTGCAACATCTTGGAAGTAACTAAATAGTGAAAAAAGCACTACTCCACTTTTCTATGTTAGTATGACATGGATAAAATATCACTTGGCTATGAATTTATCATACTTAATAATAATACTTACATTTGACGTAGCGCCTTATCATGTCGTTGAGACATCTCAAAGCGCTTCACAGAATATACTGTAAAGTAACTTGACTATTTTATGTGCAAATACAGTACAATATTTAACATCATGGTCATATAAGTATGCCACTGGTTTGATAATTGCCTGAGTATTTATTTCTGCTCAATGTGCTTCCAAGTAACACAAGGAAGGCGGTGTAATGACTTGTATCGCAGTATTGGCATCCTTTCTTTTCATCTGTGCAATTGGATTTTGAAGGGTTGCGATCTAGACTAAACAGTGCAATCCTCAGGCTGTTACACACACTGAGCCAGAATGTGTGTGCCAATGCAAATGTGTTCATGTTTAAAGAGAGAGCAATGGTGCAGTTCGTATCAAGGGTTCAAGGTGAATCCCGTAATAGCAGGGTAGGAAAGCATGTCAGCTTTCACTTTCAAAGATAAGGCGCTGATAAACTCACAGGTTACCTGGGTCTTTGGCAAGATAATTTAAAAAAAAACATAATCCCGATAGGAGAAGTGGTATGATGATTAAGAGCACATGTTAAGAGTTTTTGGATGGGTAACACAGAATACAAAGTGACAAACAAACATTAACTAACTGGTTAGTATTTACTACAACAATAACTTGCAGGTTAGTATCTTGGAGCACTCAACCATGGCATAGTTTGACGCAGAGCTGGGAGAAAGGGGAGGCGAGCATTGGCACAGTCAAAGAGGAAAGTTTTAAGGGTGGATGCAGGAAGGGAAGATGAGATCTGAAGCCAGACAAAGAGGGGGCAAAGAGAGATTGAGGGAGGGAGTTCCAGAGACTTTGAACGTAGTGGCCTGATGATGCTGGCGCTAGGATCTCTTTGCATTACAAAATGTAATGGGAACAACTGTTCTTGTGGGAACTTGAACAAGTTTGTAGTTGTTTCCAAGTCGCAAGTAATTTTGCTAGCCATA